ATTATTTTTTAAAATTATTAATTTTTTTTAAAAAGAGAATTGCCCTCTAACATAAGGTCCTAGATTCACCGTTAGTCCCGACCCATATATTTCCAATTCTTTTTCTACTTTTTCTTTTGGTAATCAGATTTTATATAAAATGATGTTTTGATTTCTTACAAAACAGTGTAGTTTTTGCGTTTTTTTTAAATAATTTTCAAAGAAAACAAACTAAAACTGCACAATTTTAGTGTTTTTCTTTACAAAAATCATATAAATAATATAATATCACACCATTACATTACCATAAAATATCAAAATACATCTCATTTTATGTAAAATATAAGAATCAAAAGAAAAGGAAAAAGAGAAAACAGTTGAAAGGTTGGGGTACTAGAGGGTGGATAGGACATTATAGGTTTTGCACTAGCTAGAGACACAGGATTATTCGTCAGCCTTTAATAATTATAGGTAACTTAATTATCCTTTAAATTTATCAGAACCATGACAGTTTGATCTTCTTTGTAATGGATCCAGATGTTCCATCCACTCGGGTTCTGTGTCAAGAATCAAAGTTTCTGTGAAAAAGCATTATTGTCTTTGTTTGATAGAAAAGTTCAGCCATGAGGAGCTAATAAGAGCATGTATTCATCCTAGTGCGGTGGCTAATTCTGAAGCTTCTTTGAGTTCAAATTATTTGTACCAAAATTTGGGAAGCAACCATTATTGAAGATTCCATATCAATATTACTAAAGGTCTGTTTGGTTTTCAAACTTTTTACATTTTAAAAGTATTTTTTTACTTTTAAAATGTGGAAAGTTATTTGGACATGTTTTAATAAGAAAAATGAACTTTTGAATATGCTTTCTAAAAATTGGTGAATGTGAATTTTGATAATCTGACTTTTGAAAGCTTTTGGAACCCACATTTGAGTTTGGGTATAAATAATGAAGTTAAATGTATACCTAATCTTTTATTTTACATGCTACCCTTTTCCCCTTGATGTTTCTCTACTTTCCCTTTTTTTTTTATCCATCTTTATTCAACATTTTTTATCCTTCTTGTGTCTGCAGATAATATTTTTTTAAAAAAAAATTATATTAATAAATATTCACGTTGTCCTTTTGATTTCATGTTGGTCTGGTTATATTATAGTAGATTGAAAAAAAATTAATCAATACAATAAAATATTAAGAAACTCTTAAATTTGGCCTTGATGTGTAGAAAACTTTACTTCTTAACTTAATGTTTTAACCTATCAAATTTTTATTTAAAAATCAAGTTTTATGTTATTTATCACATTTTTAAAAAATTTTAATCTATTAAATTTGTATAATAAAAATTATAACTCATTATAAATTAATGTCCTTTTAGTAATTATATATTTAAAATACATTTCACTATCATAATCCAAACAACTTTTAGTTCACTAAATTGACTTTTCAAAAAATTTATCCAAATATAAATTTTAACAAACATATACAACAACTAACTTTTACCGAACTGACTTTTGCTAAATGAATTTCCAATAAATAAACTTTTGACAAACCAAAAACCAAGCACATATTAGTTCTTTGTTGGCCAAAAGTTAGTTTGTCAAAAGCTCATTTGACAAAAGTCATTTTAGTAAAAGTTATTTGTGATAATGAAATTTGTATTTAGATGCATCTTTTTGAAAGTCAGTTTGATAAACTGAAAGTTATTTGAATTACATATAGTAAAATGTGCTTTTAAATATACAATTATAAAAAAAATTGATTTATAATGATTTGTAATTTTTATTATCCAAATGCTTTATATTAAAAATATTTTTTTATATCATCATCAATCCCTATGTCATATTATAAAGCATTTTTTAGAAGGACATTTAATTCTTATCACAATATATTAAAGAAATTATTTAATTATTTATTACAGTTTTTTAATATTTGTTTTTTTATTTTATTTGGCTAATTTTTTTATCAGAACATTTGTTTAAATATGAAAAATTTTGAATTTTTTATTTTTAATCAAAGTTATTGAATTAAATGTGCATTTTTAGGGCAAAAGAATCAATTGATAACAAAATTATTGCAAGCATTTTCAAAAAGCTAAATAGAATTAAGTTGAAGAAATGAATTTTTAAAACTTTTCAAATGCACTTTTTAAATAGTTGAGGAAACCAAACAATTTTAATATCCACAAATTTTCAAAGGTCCTTCCTGAATATGAAATACAAAAAAACCAAACGGGCTGTAATAGAGGAAAAGTTTCAATGTTTGCTATGTCAGTGCTAACTAGAATAAGTCAGAAAATGCATGTAATGAAATTTAATTTCTTCTATCTTATGTCACCTAATTGATGTAATTAACAAGACATGTAGTCCAAGCATAGCTACGATCAAGTTTATTTTTTGTTGCCAATTCTGTTTTGTAATTTTTTTCCAAATTTCTTTTAATATGTTTGTTAGGAGTGTGAGAGAAGTTATTGTTGATACATTTTGATTAATATATGGCTTCCTATAAAGTTTTATATTTGATATTGATATTTTATATCAATGATTATATATGTCAATTATTTTTTATATATACCATTCAAATTGAATTGGAACAATTTGATTTACGGGATATTTGTAAGTTAGATTTTGGGAGAATGTCAACTAAGGACCTTCTACAAGAAGGTCAATACCAGCTAGATCTATTTTTTTTTTTTGAAGATTTTCTATGTTGACACATACTAAATTTAGGAACTTAGGTTATGATGATGAGATGATATAAGTTTCCTATAAGGTTCTTAATTGTCATTTTCCTTTAGATGTTTGATCAAGCTTTTGTTGTTTGTATGATAATGTCTAGATCCAATGTCATAGATGAGCACAGAGTATAACTTTTCCATGGTACTGAGAATAAACAGTAAATTTCTTTCAACTAAATTGTTACATGTATAAGAATTTAGTTTTAAACTCCCAACTTTTTGTTTAAATAATGATAATTTTTATTACTCATGCTAACTTGAATTAGTCATTAAGGCTTCATTATAAGACTTTTGGAAATTATCTTGAGACTAATGATACATATTTTAACAAAATCTTAAAAAAGATGCTTAATTACAGGTGTAGCTTCCAACTATCAAGACTCTAAAACTAGCACACCTTGATTAAATTTGAAAGGACACAATCTTTACCAGTCTTTAACATTGATAATTTTGATAGATTACAAAATGGGACAAGTGAAAGTAAAATATAAGAAATGTAACGATTAAGAATCAAAGTACTTAGAAGATTATTATAGAAGAAAAGAGGGAAAAAAATCCAAGCTTGGGAACTTTCATTTATTATCATTGATTGTTCACTCTATAAATAATAATTTATATTGTGTTCAGATCAATGAGGATTTAGAGATTTGGATTTTGATTTGTATCAAATTCTTCATATAAGTGCATAAAAAATTTATAAATTTGGATTTGATCCAAATCAAAAAATATTCCTTATTATTGTAATTTTTATAATTTTAAATTTTTTAGTCTAGTTACTTAAAATTTCAATCATCCCAATCTTCTCACTCTATTCATAATTTTACTATTGATGTCTCATGCCTTGATGGCTCTTACATTTCTTTCCTCTCTCATTCTTGTGCTTTACATATTAGGAAATAATATTTGTCCCTAGATGTTAATTTGTAATTTATAAGATTTAGTTAATATTAATTTTTATAGGGTATTTATTTGTAATTTTTCAAGTCTTCTTCTTATAATTTTTAAGTCATTTTCTAAATTTTGTTGTGTGAATTGATAATCAAAGTTTTTCACCAAAAAAATAATAATAATCAAAGTTAATATTTTTAATGGTATGAATAATACCGCATCATTTTTAATTGTTAAAAGAGAGTATTGCACTACAAAAAAGTTTAAAATACCACAAAAAATATTTAGGGTTAAGGTGTAATTTCGCCTTTAAACTATTTTGGAGGAGCAATATTGCCCTTAAAATAATCAAATCGGAGCAATATTGCCCTCTCTGTTAAAACATTCCTTACTGTAGCTAGTGAAATCCACATTTCATGAGTTAAGATGTAATTTTATTCCTAAATTATTCTTAGAAGAGCAATATTGTCCTCATAATTTAAAAATTATAAAATTAAAAAAAAATAAAATTAAAAAATATCAAATAAAATAATATTAAATATATATATATAAATAAAATTATAATAATATTAAATGTATATATAAAATTAATATAATAAAAAATATAAATTCTAATTTTATAGCTTGTCAATTGTAAGTGAATCTTGGTTAAATTAAATATGAGAAGGCTCAAAAGTATTTACATTTGCACCTTTAACTATCGACATCTTTATAAAAAAACAGTCTGAAATCTTATTTTATACATGTGAATTGCTCAAAAATAAAGTTGGCTTTTAGTATGATCTAATTTTTAAAAATTTTTTAAGCTTTTTTTAATATTATATTTAAAACCGTCTGATTTTTTAAAAATCACTTTGGTTCTCAATTCAACTTCAGTTTTTAGCTTAATATTGGCTTAACTTTTGTTCAATCTAACTCAATCATGAAAATAATTTTTGGTCCAAATTGAGTCATTAACAATAGCTTAGGTTGATAGTTACAGGTGTAAATGTAAATACTTTTGAGTCTATTCATATCTAATTTAACCATGATCCACTTATATTTAATAAGTTATAAAATTATAATTTATAACATTATTAATTTATGCCATTTTATTAACATATTATAAATTTTTTTCTTATATTTATTTTATAAATATATACATTTAATATTATTATAATTTTATTTTTATATATACATTTAATATTATTATAATATTATTTTTTTAATTTTATGACTTTTAAACTGTGAGGGTAACATTGTTCTTTTGAGAATAATTTAAAGATAAAATTACACCTTAATTAATAAAAAGTGAGTCTCACTAGCTATAGTAACGAATGTTTTAATAGCAGGAGCAATGTTATTTTGATTTAATTAGTTTAGGAACAATATTATTACGATCAATAATTTACGGGCAACATTACTTTTTCGAGAATAGTTTAAAAGCAAAATTACACTTTAATCCATTATTTTAACAATAAGTCTAAATGTGAGAGTGAGCTAGAACTCTATCAAGCAACTTATAACCTAAATAGATAGATTTAAGGCCTATTTTGAGAGAGAGATACACACACTATCTATCAAGCAACTTATAACCTAAATAGATAGATTTAAGGCCTATTTTGTGAGAGAGAGAGACACACACACCCCTAAACTGGCTAGGCAGAATTTTTAAAGCCCAACCTTTAAGCTTGAAAACATGACTACTTAGATATATTTGTATATTATATATTTTTATGTATATTATATTATATTTAATTTTTATCTTGTAATTACTCTTTTTTGCTAGGTTTATTTGTTTCATTTCTTCTCCTACCCTAGGATTTCAAGCGGCGCACTACTTCCTGACCTCCATCTCCGCTCAGTCTTCACCGTCCACTCTCCACATCTCCTTCGGTCGTCTCTTCAGCTGCTTCCTTTTCGAAATTCCAGAGCTGAGACTCGCCGGTCTCCATCAGCTGCTCCACTTCTGATTCGGTGATGCCTCCTTAGCCGTTCCCCTTCCACCGTTCGAAGATCCCGTCACCGTTCTCCTCCGTCCGAAGCTCCAGTCGCCGTTCTCCATCGTTCGAAGCTCCAGATTCGCCGTTCTCCTTGATTCCTTCGTTCGATCGCTTCTTCAACTCCATCTTCTTCGATCTTGCTTCTTCATGTCCATTCTCTCGTGCTCGTCCTTCAGGTTGGTTCTCTCACACAGTTCTGCTCTTGCACGCCGTGGTTGGCTTGATTACTAGTTGGATTGTTGTCTTCTGGTGGCTGATTATGAGATTATCTTTTGATTTTATCTTGTTGCCTTATTGCTCTGCTCTGTAATTATTTATATATTATATATTCTGTTGGTGCTTATTTCCTTTGGCGTTGTTGTCTTTCTATCTTGTTTGTTTGTCATGTGTTATTGTCATCCTTTAGTCATCTCTAGTTTCGTCTCTAGTTGTAAACTTCAGGCTTTCACGGAAACTTTTTTTTTTTTTTGTGGATAAAACAAAATTAGGAAAAGATAAGCTTGGTCCTTCTTTCTTGAAGGGTGTAACTACATAGTTGTGATCACAAGAATATAATCTCATTCTCCTTTATCAGAGTCATGCTTCAAGTTCTATGTATCAACAAAATAAGCTTCATAAACAAGTTCTCTGATTGTGAAAACTGACAAAAAAATGTGAGCAAAATTCAAAATATATTAAATTTCATGGCCAAGTACACTTCCCAAAAATCTATTTAAGAAACGGGTATCAAGACATGAAAGCAAGTGTAGCTTTATCCTTCAATATATATCTCTTTTAGCATATATGATATAACTACAACGGAGATATTCACAAGCATCTCTCTGCATGTTATATGTCTTTGAGATTTGATCTAACTTTTTTGTTAGAGATATTAAAGCTCTTTTCTTTTTTATTGCAGGCTTCGTTATGAGTTCAAGTCACCAAATCATACATGAAGGCGCTGAAGAAGAAGTTATTCATGAATCAGATATATTTACTCACATTCTAAACATTAAAACCATCTCATCAGTCAATAGCTGCCGGAATTAGACATAACGGTCTTGCCGAAAAATGATCTTCCCACAGGCCTCCCTGACCTGTTTAACAAGTAGAGGTTTAAGGGGGGCGAGGTATGCTGCGTTCAGCTCACCTGAAGACGAGGGAGCCCTATTGATCACAGAAGTGAAGATACTAAGACTAAGCACCAGAAATTATTATGGTCTTCTTATTACCAAGTATTGTCTCATTGTATATGTGCCAGGAATCAGAAGGTGTCTATGAAAAAGCATTGCCTTTGACAATAGAAAATCTTAGCCCTAAGGAGATAGGAACAGACAACCATTGGCGATTAATCTATCAATGTCATTACTAGGACAAGACAAAGTTTAACTACCATCAACATATGTTTTGCATATTTTATTTTATAATTTCTCAAATGTTGAAGGATGTAATATATTACAATTTATACCACTAAACATGCATTTTTATACGTAGCAAAAAATTTGATGAGTTATATAAATTTTATGAAATGTAATAACTTGATATAAACTTGATGGAGCATTCATTGGATGCATGTATGACTATGCCCAAAATCGAAACTCTCTAAATCAAAGTTATATAATCATTTAAGTTTGAGGATCTCATTTAGACTACTTTCTATCATGATGGTACAGAAACTAAATGGGAGAAAGTATTCTGTTTTATTGCTTCAATTTGAGATGCCTTATAAGGAAAATGAAAGTCCTATTTATACTATTGTGATCCTTAAACTGAAGCAGTAAAATAAAGGGGAGGTTATAAGGGGTTTTATTGTGCATTAAGGGAGATGTTGCAACTCTCTATTTACTGTCATTATTTCCATTTCTGTTGCTGTTGTTTTTTTTCGTTTCACATGATTTTGGAAATCATCCTGGATAATGATCAATCTTTGTCCTTCTATCTTGTTTGTTTGTTGCTTGATATTGTATCTTTAGTTGTGTCTTCCTTTGGTCATCTCCACAATCAAACAGCTGCTGTTCGTCTCTAGTGGTGAACTTCAAGCTTTCACCGAAGTTTGGTGTTATTATTAATCAGAATCATGCTTTAAGTTCATGTGTCCGCCAAACAGTTAACAAAAAAGTTCTCTTATTGTGAAAATTGACGAAAAATGTGAGCAATACTCAAAAACCTATTGTTTTTTGCTTTCATTAAAAATGTCTAAATAAATATAAGAAATTTACTCGGTGGATCATTCATTTACTTTCGTCTAATATAAAATCAGCGTTAAACATAAATGTTCAACGAAGTCTGTTTGAAACTGAAATTGAAGGAAACATAATAGTAGTACAAAAAATATTTGCATGTACTTCCATCATCATTCACAACATTCATGAGGTCGAATTGAGAAACAGTTCTAATATTAAGTTATTCTTTTGCCTTCTTCCGGAGCAAGTAACTGCATCATGACTTATGATCACACATTAAGTTCAACAAATTAAGAAATTAAGCTCAACAAACAAGTTGTTTGATAGTGAAAAAGTAGAAGAAAACTGAATAAAATATTAATTTATTGGGCTTTTGTAGGCTTGAAGTTTTGAGGCCTAAATTTAGGAGTCTTTTTAAAAGGTTTGCAAATAAAGTAAATATCTTAAAAAAACTCACACAATCAAATTCGATCTTTACTTTTTTTGAGTGGGTTTAAGTTGGCCCATTGGGCTTGACTCGAATTACCTGCTCTAATTTGGTTATGTAAAAAAAAAGTTATGAGAGACGCTAATGAGAAGGGTGGAACAGATTGTTTTGAATTTTGTGAAAAAGAGAAGTGGAAGACCAGATAAAAAACTCAAATAAGTTATTGAATGAGATTTTTTGGTCAACAATATACCCAAAAGTTTGACTATTGATAGAGCACAAAGATGATGTATAATCCATGTGACCAATTCACCAAAGGCTCATTATTGTTGTTGTGGTTGTTGTAATCGTCTTTGATTTCATTTTGTTTTTGATGTGTTGGATTTATTATATCAATCCACATATGTTAGATTTGTGAATTTTGATATTGTATTCATGTTTTTGTTTGGATTTGTTTACTTTTCTTCGTTATCCTCTTCTTTGTCCAATTGCTCTCTCTATACTTCCCTTGTCTGCTTTGATTGCCTTTTAGAACTGTGCAACTCATAATCATGACTCATGAAAAACCCAAGGATGTCCTTATTCCTTAACCGTTGGTTCGTTTGAATTTTGCTTCAAGTGCTATCCAAAACGAAGGCTTATGAAAGAGGTTGGTTAATGTATAATTGTGAGAACGGGGAAAAATTTTAATATATCAAAGGAATTGTTGAGACGATACAAAATTTGCAATTATTTTGCTTTCACCATAAATGTCTAAATAAATTTATATAGAATCTGCGAGGGGGGTAACTCATTTACACTTTAATCTAATATAAAATTACTATTATTGTCCAAAAAAATTATTAATCATAAATGTTTAATAATTAATTGTCTTCATGAAAATGAATTGGAAAGAAATTAAACATGAATAATTAAAGGAAAAAAATAAATTTTATGGTATAGAAATTAATATTTAGATATATTTTTATCATCTTTCACACTATTTATAAGATCTCATTGAAGAACCGTTACAGTATTTAATTATATTTTTTCCTTTCTTTGAGCAAGTAACTTCATTATTGGAGAGCACCGGACTCATGATCTTCTTTATCTATGTCACACTTTAAGTTCTGCATATCAACAAATTAAAAAAGCTCGACAAACAAATTGTTTGGTAGTGAACAAGTTGAGGAAAAATGTGAATAAAGAAAACTTTGGGAATACCATAACTTCAGTTTCTAGGGCTTATAATCATCATCATCATTCACACCATCCATATGAGCTTGCAATAAGAGTCATTATATTCAAAATATATTTAATTACTTCCTTGGCCCGTTATCTTCTTCCTGAAATTCCATTTAAGGATTGAACATTCATCAAGATATATAAAACAGTGTAGCTTCATCTGTCAGTGTGTCTCAACCCATGGCAAACCTTCTCTTCTTAGCCATATCTGAGTTTCTTGTTTCATGAAAGCTCTAGAGTTGAACAATACCCTTATAACCATAAATTTGTGTGCAGATGTGAAGAATATGAGTTTTGATGATCTCAAAACTTCATGTCCAGTCGCTCGTGCTCGTTCTTCAAGTTCGTCCCCTTACACTGTTCTGCTCATGCTTGCCGTTGTTGGCTTGTTCACTTTTTGGATTGTTGTCTTCAATCTTCTGGTGGCTGATTTGTATGGGATTTTCCTTTTATTTTTGCGTTGTTGTTCTGCTCTGTGATTATTTATATATTATATATTGTGTTGTTGCTGATTTCCTTTGGCTTGGCTGGCCTTTTATCTTGTTTGTTTGTTGTTTGATATTGTTTGGTCATCTCTACAATCAAACAGCTGTTGTTCGTCTCTAGTTGTGAACTTCAAGCTTTCACGAAAGTTTGGTGTTATTATTAATCGGAGACATGCTTTGTCTTATGTATCAACAGAAAATCTTAAAAAAAAAAGTTTCTCTTATTGTAAAAATTGACTAAAAATGTGAGCAATTTTCAAAAACCAATTGTTTTCTGCTTCAACAAAAAATGTCTAAATAAATATAAGAAATTTACGAGGTGGATCATTCATTTACTTTCATCTATTATAAGATTAATATTAAACATAAATGTTCAATAAAGTGTGTTTGAAACTAAATTTAAAGGAAACACGAATTTCAAGGAAAAAAACAACAGAGAGGAGCATAAAAAATATTTGCATGTACTTTCATCATCATTCACACCATTCATAGGGTCACATTAAGGAACAATTCTAGCATTCGACTCTATACTTTTCCCTTTGTTTGAGTAGGTAATTGCATTGGAAAGCATAGGACTCATGATCTTCTTTACTTGAGTCACGCATTAAGTTCTATATATCAATAAATTAGAAAACTATGCTCAACAAACAAGTTGTCTGATAGTGAAAAAAATTGAAGAAAAATGTGAACAAAGATAAATATCTTAGGCTTTTATCATCATTCACACAAACCATGTAATTTTATCGTCATCAAGTAATTATATTTGAAATGTATTTAATTAATTTCTTGGTTTGTTATATTCTTTCTAAAAATCTATTTAAGAAGTGACATTCATCAAAACATGAAACAAGTGTAGCTTCATTTGGTAGTTCTCTCAACCCATGATAAAGCTTCTCTTCCTAGCCATATGAGTTTCTTGTTTAATGAAATGTCTAGAGTTGAACAATACCCTTATAACTATAAACTTTGCAGATGTGAAGAATGAGTTTGATCTCAGCAATCAATATTTTTACTCACATTCTAAACATTAAAATCCCATCATGGATTTTGGAGGTTACCAATACCAAACCATGCATTTAGGCTCAAAAAGTACTGACAGTGGCCTACCAATAAGGTTTTTATATCGATAATAGAGATTGAACCTGCAATCTTATGGATTATTGGTCATTAATGTTGGAGGCATGTTCTTGTTTTGGTGAGCTCATTTCATGGATCACCACTTGCTAGAATTTCATTGGAGTCGTCCAAGTGGATATGCAAGCAATTCCTCATAAATCAAAAGCAGAGGTTGATTTAGGTGATCAGCTATTTCTTCCTTATAGTCCATTAACGATTCATCCCATCACCAGAAGGGCATGAATGGCAAGATATCAGCTCCTCCATCTTACTAAGTAATTAACATAATATTTCATTTGCCTTATCATTATATATATATATATATATGTTCTTTCTCTTATAATTTGTACAACATGTGTACTTTGCAATATTGAAAATTCAGTTGAGTTGGATTTTGGAACTCACCAACGCCAAACCATGCATCTAGATTTAAAAAGCATTGGCACAAGTATTTACAAATGGCCTACTAATAAGGTCTTCATATCAATATGGTGGGGTTTGAACTAACAACCTAATATATTATGAGTCAAATCCTTAACAACTAAAATAACATTTGTTGGCTTTTTTAAATTTCTTTTAATGTGTTGTTTAGAGTGTGAGAGAAAAGTTATTGTTTTTGGCTTTTGATTAATATATATGGTTTGCTATAAAATTTTATATCAGATATTGATAGTATATATCTTCAATTTTGTCAGTATTTTATACCATTTAGATTGAATTGGAACAATTTGATTTATAGAATATTTGTAAGTTAGATTTTGATGAAGCTTGGTTTGATATATGATAATTCCCAAATCTAATTCTTTTTGGAGAAAACATGGGAGAAAAGAAAATATGAAAGAAAAATAGAGAGAAAATACATTTTTCCCTATTTGGATGAAGAAGCAAAAGTGAGAGGAAAGAAAAGTTGGGAAGAAAATAGAATGTAAGATTCAGCCACATTTTCTTTCCAACTTTTCTCTCCAAAAGTTGAGATAGTTAAAGGTAAAATCTTATTTTCACTGCCTACCCTCTCCTCTCTCTTTCCCTCTTTTGCTACTTCAACCATATCAATTCCTTGCAAACAATCAGATTTTGATTTCAATGAAAATTTGAAACCCTGAAATCACAAAGAGCTCCCCGTTTGGAATCAAATTGCTTAT